CCCCAAAACCCCAAAACCCCAAAACCCCGTGAGGATTCATTTGATGAGGAGATGATATTTCTGAATACTTTTTATTTTACATAGATATATGTTTGATTTCAAATTAGATAAAGTAAAAGATTTAATTATTAAACGATGAACGATAATAATGGCTAGAGAAGGAGTATCAGGCAGAGCCTTCTTTAAAATAGCAATGAAAATTATGCAATAAATTTTGATCCTATTGATGGAATGGATGAAGAACTAATGATGGCTTGTAATATTAAGCGAACAAATCATTTCATTTTCCTAATCATTAAATTTAGTATAAGCATCCGTTGATTTGGTGAGAAGGACGAGCTCTATTACAGAGAGGAATTTCAACAGAACCCCAATAGAGAAAGAAAAATTGCAATAAGGAATGATTATGCTTGGTTATGATCAGGATAATGCTGCCTATGCTTTGAAGATGACTTAGTATCTAAGCATTGAAAGAGCTACCAGTTTCTTGCATGATAAATAAGATAACGGTAAATATGAGCATGATTTCATTGCATATGCCAAAAATGATTAGCTCTGCAAGCTGTGCCTTGACTCTATTGAAAATCATAAATCTTTAATTCCCTAGTAAGAATAGGTGAAGTAAAAAAGTATTGTGAACATTAAGATTGAAGATGTAAGTAGATAAGATCAATCTTAATAATAAAAATAATTTAATTATATATAGGAAGGAGAGGGTCCAAATTCTGATGAAATCGATTGTGGAATCTGTTACTGCACTTATAGTGCAAATGAAATTCATAAATTCTTATGTGGCCACTAGTTTTGTTTGTAATGCTCACAGTAAACCCTAAGATTTAACATTGAGAGGAACTAATTAGAAAAAATTAATTTGCCCGATGAGAGGATGTGGTGAAAAGCTAACAGATGAATAGGTCAGAACAGTGTTCAAGGATGACAAGGAAATTATAGATAAATTGGAAAGATTTAAAATTAAGACTTTGCTTGAGAGAGATCCATTAATTAGGTGGTGCACTAAGGAAGATTGCGATGGATACACTAGGGCTAAATCTTTCAATGAAAAGAAGGTGAGATGTGACAAATGCAAGCATGAACTGTGTTTCTAATGTAGAGATGATTGGCATGGGTATTTCACCTCTTGTTAATCAGCAATGGAGAAAAAGTTTAAGGGCTGGGCTTCTGGAAATGTAGATATTTCCTTCTGTCCTAAATGCAAGACCAAGGTTGAGAAAGTTGAAGGCTGCAACCATATGACTTGCTATTTCTGTAAATTTTAATGGTGTTGGATATGTGGAGGAACATACACAGGCGATCATTATTTGCCCATTAATCCATTCGGTTGTGGAAACTAATAGTTTGCAAAGAAACATAAATGGTATATCTAAATTTGGATTAATCTCGGTTGGCTATTACTTGCACTACTCTTAATGCCTTTATTTCTAGTATTTACTGTACCTGGCGCTATAATTGGGCTTTGCTTTGAGTATCCTTTAAGATAATTAGGAAGAAAATTCTGTAAAGGCCCACATTATTGCGTCCTTGGATCATTAATTGTACTCCTTCTACTTGCTGTTGGATTAGCTTTAAACGTCATTTTGATACCTTTGTTCTTAGTAATTGGATTGCCAATAATAATAGGAGTCATGATATATAAGAGAGTTAAGGTTCACAGAAAAGCCAATAAAAATTTACAGGAAATTCTATAGGGCAAGAGGTAGGTTTACAATTACTGATTACTGCAAATGATTCAGAATGTAGCATTAGGGCAGAGGTCACATTTCCATCTTAACTTAAATTATTTCTAATAAAGATTTCAACAAAGAATTTACGATGAATAAGCTTCTCGGGGTTTTGGGGTTTTGGGGTTTTGGGGTTTTGGGG